ACATGAAGAAATCTGTGTTACAAGTTAAACACAAATTGTAATAAACAATTATATTTTGACTTTAAATAGTTTTTGTCTTGTGTTTACATAAATTTTACATTTGAAAAGCCAAAATTTTGAATGGCTTTTAAATGTGATTAATCGCGAATTTAATTTTAAAAAGTGTGATTCGTAATTTTTTTTTAATCGATAGACAGCAACAATATATATATATATATATATATATATAGTTGATGTCAGAATTATTAGCCCCCCTGAATTCTTGATGCCTGTTTATTTTTTTCACCAATTTCTGTTTAATGGAGGGAAGATTGTTTCAGCACATTTCAAAGCATAATATTTTTAAAACTTATTTCAAAAACTGATTTATTTTATCTTTGCTATGATGACAGTAAATAATATTTTACTTAATATTTTTCAAGACACTAGTATTCAGCTTAAAGTGACATTTAAAGGCTTAACTAGGTTAATAAGGTGAACAAGGCAGGTTAGAGTAATTAGGCAAGTTATTGTATAACGATGGTTTGTACTGTAGATTATCGAGAAAAAATATAGCTTAAAGGGGCTAATACTTTTGTCCCAAAAATGTTTTTTTTTTAAATTCAAAACTGCTTTTACTCTAGCAGAAGTAAAACAAATAAGACTTTCTCCAGAAGAAAAAATATTATCAGAAATACTGTGAAGATTTCCTTGCTCTGTTAAAAATCATTTGGGAAATATTTAAAAAAGAAAATCAAAAGGGGGCTAATAATTCTGACTTCAACTGTATATATATATATATAGTTTGATTCACCCGTTACCACCAACGTCAAGTGCAAACCTACATCCTTGAGTACAGAGCAAAACTACAAATGAAATAAACTGTGCTTTTATGGTTTTCTGGTTTGGAACTGAAAAAATATTTGACACAGTATACACAGTGGAAAACCCCCAAAAGTTTTAATATAATAATAATAATAATAATAATGCAATTATTTTGTAATCTAATGAAGGTTTGAGATTCTGGGACTTTTTAAGGGTTAAATAGGAGGGTGTGACTAAAGTACTAATCACGGACTGGGTTTGAACATTTCGAAGGACGTTAATAATGATAAACAATGCAATGACATGCATTTTAAATACTAATATTAATTATAAAAATAAACAATAATTTAAAAATACATGGTGGCACTATAGCTCAGTGGTTAGCACTGTGGCCTCAAAGCAAGAAGGTCACTGGTTTGAGTCCCGGCTGGGCCAGTTAGCATTTATATGTGGAGTTTGCATGTTCTCCCCGTGTTGGCGTGGGTTTCCTCCGGGTGCTTCAGTTTCCACCACAGTCCAAACACATGCGCTATAGAGGAATTGATTAACTAATTTGGCCCCAGCGTATGTGTAAATGAGTGTGTATTGGTGTTTCCCAGTGATGGCCTATGGTCGGAAGGGCATCCGCTGCGTAAAACATGTGCTGGAATAGTTGGCGGTTCATTCCGCTGTGGCGAAGAAAAATGAATGAATGAATAAACAAGCTTTTGACCACCCCTATAATAGTTCATACCATTGCCAATGCACAATGTGCATATCTAGACTACCATTAATGCACACCCGAAGCGTTCAAAACACACTTTACATGTAAAACAGGTGTTTGTCTCTACATATAACCCAAAAGTAATGCAATGTAATTTCAAATTAGACTAATATTGTATATATTTATAGACGCCAATGCTCAGACCTGGAAGTTAATAGGATATTAAGCGATCAGAGCTCATCAGAGGTTATTATAAGTCTGAATAAACTCAGTAACCAATCAAAAGACTAAAAATGTAAGTTTGTTTGAATAATAAATGAGATGTAATTGCATTGAGAGTAGGAATTTGGTTTACTGAAGCATGCAAATGTATTACACACAATGCTCACCCCTTTATAGTTGATTTTTGTACTTTGGGTTTAAGGAAAGCGGGTCACTTTACAGTAAGGTTTCATTAGTTAGTGTATTTACTAACATGAACCAAGTATGAACAATACTAAGCACAGCATTTATCAATCATAGTTCAACATTTACTAATGCATTATTAAAAAAGTCTAAATTCATTCTTGTTAACATTAGTGAGTTAAAAAGAACTAACAGTGCACAACTTTATTTTCCTTAATTAACATTAATAAATACTGTAATTAATGTGTTGCTCATTGCTTGTTCATGTTAATAAATACATTAACTAACACTAACCAATACAACCTTATTGTAAAGTGTTACCAAAGAGTGCATGAGAAATTAAATGAATGATTACTGTAAATTAATCACACACACCTTGGAGAACCACCGATTTAGAGCATGCAGAAGAGCTGAAATGAGCAGCCTGTCGATTAATACTGTGCATTCATTCATTTTCTATTAGACTTAGTCCTTTTATTAATCAGGGGTCGCAACAGCGGAATGAACTGCCAACTTTTCCAGTATGTGTTTTACACAGCGGATGCCTTTCCAGCCGCAACCCAACCCTGGAAAACACCCATACACTCTCTTTCACACACATATACTACAGCTGATTTAGCTTATTCAATTCCCCTATAGCTCATGTCTTTGGACTGTCGGGGAAACAGGAGCACCCGGAGGAAACACACGCCAACACTGTGAGAACAGGCAAACTCCACACAGAAATGCCAACTGAATCCCTCGGGGTTCGAACCAGCGACCTTCTTGTTGTGAGGCGATCGTGACGCCACTAACACTGTGCAGGTAAAGGATATTTCTTGTTGTGTGTGTCCTCAGTGAGGAGCCGTAGCTGTAAACTGCATTTATTAATGAGTTCGTCCAGTTTCTCCTCGGCCTCCGTCAGCTCAGAAACCTCCTTCTGCAGCTCCTGAAACCTGGCCAGAGATGCGCCGTCGATACGATTCCCTCTGCAAAACCACACAAAACCATAAACAATCACAGAGTATATGCGGAGACATTTTCATAAACTAATCTTGATTCATCAAAACTAAAACATACTCTAAATCTACAAAAAAAATTCAAGAACAATTTAAATTAAAGCTGCAAGCAGCAATGAAAGGGACCTCGCACCCGAGCTCACCGCCGCCCGGTGGCCTTAGTATAACAGAGAACAGCGAACAATAATAATTTAAGCTGATATATATATATATATATATATAAAACCTGGGGAAAAAAAAAAAAAAAAAAATCACAGATTTATGCCAAACTTCTTCCTGTCAGCAGGTGGCGCTATGACTGTGACTCAAGATTGGCATGTAGATGTCTTCAGAAGAGAAATTTCAATAAGTCATGTGAAATTTCAGGCAGGTCAGACATTGTGTAGTTGAGTTATAAGTACTTCCTGTTCCATGGCGAATCACTGAGGTTTGTCAGGCCGCCACGGACACGCCCTTCAGCAAAACTCTAGATCTTCACAATATATCATCGCTAGAGCTTTCAGATGACACCTTGCAAATTTGGTGCTGATACAATGAAATTTGTAGGAGGAGTTTGTTATGGTCTAAAACATGTCATTTCCTTTCGCCAGCAGGTGGCGCTATAACTGTAACTGGATATTGGCATGTAAACATGTTCAGGTCAGGACTCTTAACAAACATGGAAATTGAGGCAGATCGGATAATGCATGCCTGAGTAATAACAACTTTCTGTTTCGTGGCGAATCGTCAAAGCCACGGACACACCCTTTATCAAAAAATGTTGATTTTCAAAATTTAACATCGCCAAGGCATTTAGATGACAAAACCCAATTTTGGTGTTGATCGGATGAAATTCCTAGGAGAAGTTCGTTAAAATACAATGTCTGGAAATGTCAAAAACGCCACTTTTTCGGCGCAGGAAGTTAAAAATATCCGACTTCCTATTGGGTTTGACATTCCCCTCCTAGAGACTTTTTGTAGTTTTTAGCCCCTTGAAACAGAGTGTGAAGGGGAAGGGCTTCAAAACGTACCCCTAAGAAATGGGACAGCACTACAACACTTACAATTCAGTTGATTGGACATGATTTGAAAAGGCATACACCTGTCCATATAAGGTCCCAGGGTTGACGGTGCATGTCAAAGCACAAACCAAGCATGAAGACAAAGGAATTGTCTGCAGACCTCCGAGACAGGACTGTCTCAAGGCACAAGGCTGGGGAAGGTAACAAAAACATTTCTGCTGTTCTGAAAGATCCAATGAGCACAGCGGCCTCCATCATCCGTAAGTGGAAGATGTTTGGAGCCACCAGGACTCTTCCTAGAGCTGGCCGGCCATTTAAGCTGAGTGATCGGGGGAGAAGGGCCTTAGTCAGGGAGGTGATCAATAACCCAATGGTCACTCTGTCTGAGCTCAAGAGTTCTTCAGTGGAGAGAGGAGATCCTTACAGAAGGACAACCATCTGTGCAGCAATCCACCAATCAGGCCTGTATGGTAGAGTGGCCAGACGGAAGACACTCCCCCCTGGAATTTACCAAAAGGCATCTGAAAGACTCTCAGACCATCAGAACCTAAACTCTCTGCTCTGATGAGACTAAAATTTTAATTTTTTGGAGTGAATGCCAGGCGTTACGTTTGGAGAAAACCAGCCAGCGCTCGTCAATAGGCTAACAGCATCCCTACAGTGAAGCATGGTGGTGTTGGCATCATGCTGTGGGGATGTTTTTCAGCAGCAGGAACTGGAAGACTAGTCAGGATAGAGGGAAAGATGAATGCAGCAATGTACAGAGACATCCTGAATGAAGACCTGCTTCAGAGCGCTCTTGAGCTCAGACTGTTTTTTCCAGCAGAACAATGACCCCAAGCACATTGCCAAAATATCAATGGAGCGGCTTCACAACAACTCGGTGAATGTCCTTGAGTGGCCCAGCCAGAGCCCAGACCTAAATCCTATTGAACATCTCTGGAGAGATCTGAAAATGGCTGTACACCGTCGCTTCCCATCCAACCTGATAGAGCTTGAGAGGTACTGCAAAGAGGAATGGGCAAAAATTCCCAAAGACAGGTGAGCCAAGCTTGTGGCATCATATTTAAAAAGACTTGAGGCTGTAATCGCTGCCAAAGGTCCATCAATAAAGTGTTGAGCAAAGGCTGTCAGTAGTGATGTACAAGTGATTTTACAGGGATAAAGAAAATTAGTATCACAAAATTAGTATATAGTAGTGTAGAAACAAACACAACTACACTCCACATTTATATAAAGCAGTAACGTTCTGAAAGACTCACAGCCACTGGATGTTGTTCTTGGACTTCTTGGAGATTAAGTGAATGCCCTCCAGGACGTTGGTGATGTCGTAGATGCGTCGCTTCTGGACGTCCAGCACCTGTGAGGCCCAGTTCAGGTCCACCACGCCGTCCGGAGACTGAGCCAGGAGATCCAGAAAGCGTTTGGTGGTCAGATTCAGAGACGTGTCGTAGCGGGATTTCTCCACAGCCAGCTTAGGCACTAAAACACACAGATAACATGAGAAAAGGGGTTTATATCAATACTGTTGAGTAGAACTGTGCAAAAAATCTATATATATCACAAATGTGCATATTGCTATATACAAATCCCAATGGCAGATTACAATTTAAATGATGATTTTCAATACTTTAACACCTTTGACAGGGTTTACTATTTTGGCAAGAGCATTAAAGCTCATTTATTTTTCCATTTCTGCAGCGATGCTATATTGATGGGGAAATCAATAGTTTTTATATAAAAAACTACTATAATTACATTTTAAAACATTGTTTACAATAATTCAACATTTTGGATTAGAAAAAACATCAGTCATATTCAATATTGTTTTTTTTTCTATGTTTTTTTTAATGTTGGCCTTTTCTAAATGTACTTATTTTAGGCACTTACCCATAAGTAGGCCCACACGGAATCTGGGCGCACAGAATTCCGCAGATTTTCCGCAGATTTCTGCAGATTTTTAGCCAACTATTAATTCTGTTTACTTACTTGAGTAAATGTGTAAATCTGAATTTATTCAGTAATTTATTACTTTTTATTTAATATATTTAGGTTTTAGTTATGATACTCCGCTGGATACTCCCAAAATAATTCCGCAGAAATCCACCACAGATTTTTACCAAAATTCTCAGCAGAAATAGCAAAAAATGTCCGGTGATTCCGTCTGGCCCTGGACATAAGTAATACTTAATACTGAATATTTGATACCAGCAGAAGCCTAATGTAATTCAAAGACAGTAAGATTACATTGGGTCAATATCATGATAATACCCTATATTATAATAAAAGCTTTAATAATTCACAATAAGAGTAATAATAATAATACCATATATATATATCGTGACTGAGCATTCAAGCTCATTTATTTTTCCATTTCTGCAGCGATGGCTATATTGATGGGGAAATCAACAGTTTTTATATAAAGAACTACTATAATTACATTTTAAAACATTGTTTACAATAATTCAACATTTTGGATTAGAAAAAACATCAGTCATATTCAATATTGTTTTTTTTCTATGTTTTTTTTAATGTTGGCCTTTTCTAAATGTACTTATTTTAGGGACTTATCCATAAGTAGGCCCACACGGAATCTGCGCGCGCAGATTTTTAGCCCATTATTAATTCTGTTTATTTACTTGAGTAAATGTGTAAATCTGAATTTATTCAGTTTTTATTCAGTAATTTAATACTTTTAATTTAATATATTTAGGTTTTAGTTATGATACTCCGCTGGATACTCCCAAAATAATTCCGCAGAAATCCACAGATTTTTACCAAAATTCTCCACAGAAATAGCAAAAAACGTCCGCAGATTCCGTCTGGCCCTGGACATAAGTAATACTTAATACTGAATATTTGATACCAGCAGAAGCCTACTGTAATTCAAAGATAGTAAGATTACATTGGGTCAATATCATGATAATACCCTATATTATAATAAAAGCTTTAATAATTCACAATAAGAGTAATCCAAAAGTAGTCTGATTACATTAAGTCAATATTGTGATGAATATATGAATAATACCATATATATATATCGTGACTGAGCATTCAAGCTCATTTATTTTTCTATTTCTGCAGCGATGGCTATATTGATGGGGAAATCAACAGTTTTTATATAAAGAACTACTATAATTACATTTTAAAACATTGTTTACAATAATTCAACATTTTGGATTAGAAAAAAACATCAACATACAAAATCATGCAATCACTCAGTTTCCATTTGGCTTAAGGCTGATTTCTACTTCTGCATTGAGTGATCAGCATGACCCATGGTGACTGTGCATAGCTCTGCATTTATACTTCTGTGCTCTGTTTGTGTTCCTCTGTACTGCTAAAACACTAGCAGGCAGTAGGTTGTTATGTTCCTCTGTGTTGAGTTTCTTCACTGGTGTTTTGCTTTTTCTGAACGCTACCGTAATGTTCAAGTAGATAAAACTCGCTTATTCTGAGGCTGGAACCTGTGGACATGCAGCAACTTTATTCATAAGGTAAACACAAAGCGACAGTTGCCATGCGGAGCTCCTCCACAGAACTTGACACATTCGTAAACACTTACTCCATCGGACTCGCAGCTCTTAGCACCGCCCACACTTGTCACAGCTACCAAGCCAACCAAGTACAGAGCCTGTGCTACACGTTGTTGCGACGTGTAGTTACAGTAGTTTAAGAGGTGCGCGTCAGCGCCAGCCACACAGACATCCCAAGTTGGGAGAAGTCCTGGGGGAGACTGAGATGATTTACGGGAGGTTACGGGAGATGTGCGACATGTGAAGACTGGGGGGGAGGCATGACATAGTTGAATACTGGAAGCGAGGAGGGATACGGTGGAGAGAGGTGAGAAGGGTGCACAACGTATTTGAGGATCGGGAGGGAGACGCGCAATTTCCAGCAGATTGTCATTCGTTTGCGAGCAAACGAGCATCCGGGAGACTTGGGATGTCTGGCCACGGCGAGGGCTATGCGACCGCGTGCGCTTGCATACATACGCATACATGTGCGCTTGACGCAGAAGTATAAATCAGCTTTAGCCTTCATGCTCTGATTATCAGGTGGTGCCAAAGCCGAATGAATCGCCAATTATTCTGGTATATGTGTTACACAGCAGTTGCCTTTCCAGCCGCAACACAGTACTGGAAAACACCCACACTCTCACATTCACACACACTCATATACTACAGCCAAATTAGAATCAATTCCCCTATAGCGCATGTGTTTGGACTGTGGGGGAAACCTGAGCACCCGGAGGAAACCCATGCCAACACGAGGAGAACATGCAAACTCCACACAGAAATGCCAACTAAAAAATATACATGCTTACTTAAAATAACCAACTATAGGACTACAGAATCTTCTAATGAGTAAAACTGCTTCAGCAAATGTTCCCGAACAAAATGTAGTCTAACATTCAAAATTAGAAACTCTATTAAAATGTTTTGCACTCAAGACGTTAATATATATTCAGAATTTACATAGTAAATGCTAAATTAGACTAATTTCTGAAGGTCTTTTGAAATAATAAATGATAAAGAAAATAATTTCTTTCTTTTTTCTAAAAGAAAATGATGAAAAAATACTGAAAATATCTGCTTTGAGACTAAAGTTTTTTTTTAAATATGCAAATATATTGTGTTTCCCAGTACTGGGTTGTGGCTGGAAGGGCATCCACTGCGTAAACCAAATGATGGTATAGTTGGTGGTTCATTCTGCTGTGGCGACCCCTGATAAATAAGGGACTAAACCAAAGGAAAATTAATAAATGAAATATATTGCAAAATGTTATTTACTTCTATTTTAAAACATAATAATATTTGAGATTAATATAATTTGCACAGCTTTTTCCTTTAAATAAACAAGCACCCCAAACTTCTGAATTTCTATTTTGACCACAGAAATATATTATTTTTATCATGATCATTTTAGTAATCATTCATACCTCTGGGAGGTGCGGGTGTGGCTGGAGGTGTGGGTCCATTTGAAGCGGTTCGAGAAGTGCAAATGTACTGATGATCGCTGTCTAAATCCAACTTTCTTTTCACCTACAATCAAAAATGCACAAACAAAAACACATTAAATGCACGTAGACTGATTAAAGTAACTAATGTGTCATAAAACAACGTTACAAAACCTTTAACCGCATGCCAGTAATTGAGTTGTTATTGTTAAGTGCTCTTATGATCACAGTGAAGGTCAGAATGTTAATGAACCGACAGTTTTGATTTAAAATGAAAGTGGAAATTCTGAATGGGATTTTATGGGTAGTACGCATGGGATTCATCGTTGTGTGGTGAGAAGAGCTGGGTAGACATGAATTATATGATCACTTGCTTTACTTCGGGTTTGTCCCTAATTCATCAGGGGTTGCCACAGTGAAATGAACCACCTATTACTCTGGCAAACGTATAATAAATATGCAAATTTTTCTTTTTACAATTATATTTTGTCATTAAAAAAAACCCAATGTTTATAAAAATTATTTATCGTTCACAATGTTTTTCACTCATACAGTCATATTGGATATATATTTATATATATATATATATATATATATATATATATATATATATAGATACCAGCAGAAGCCTAGTTTAATTCATAGATAGTAAGATTACATTGGGTCAATATCTTGATATTCATAATAAAAGCTTCAATAACTCACAATAAGAGTGATCCAAAAGTAGTCTGATTACATTAAGACAATATTGCGATGAATATATATATCTTGATAATACGATATATCATTATGTATAATTAATGTAATCCAGAAGTAGTCAGATTACATTATTATGTCAGTATTGCG